AATAACTCCAGTAGAAACCGTAAGAGTAATAGAAGCATAAAAATCAAAAAATAAATAATATGCAATAACAATAACCAGCATCTAAGGCCCGGGGCTAAGATAAACAACAAGAATAGTGTCACTTTATATTATTGAACTGACAAAAAGAAAACGTAAAAAGAGTCAATATAAGCAAAAGAAAACAAAACGCACAAGCAATCTTGTTGAACAATAATGAATCAAAATCTTATTAATTCTTATGTTGTAATAATATTGAGAGTAAATTCTTATCTATTTTCTTGATAATTCATAACTCTTGAGAATTTATGTCTTATATTCCTTGCATTTAAGTTTTATGGAACAATAATAATAATAATAATAATAATAATAATAATAATAATAATAATAATAATAATAATAATAATAATAATAATAATAATAAAAGCTATAGTTGATAATAATAATAATAATAAAACTTTTCTGAAAGAGTAAGGTAAAATAAATAAATGATCACATCTCTGTCGTTTTTAGCTACTAGTCATAGTGTACGTGTTTGCACGTCTACATCGCGTCAATTAATATTAAATGTATACAAGAACATATTGTTGGATAATATTGATTGACATTAATTAAATATAATATTTGCTTAACTTACGAAAATGAATGCTATTACATAAAATAATAGTTAAATTTAATATCTTCTAAACATGTAAATATGAAGAATTTAATTAGTTGAATTAGTTATATAGTATTTGTAGTTAGTGACATCTTATTATATAAGATACAGATATTTTATGTTGCTATACCTCACCTAACATCTCCTGAATGAATCATATTATGTCTGATTTTAATATGTGTAATTTATTCTATGCAACTTAGGTATTCTTATATGTTCATTAAAATTTCATCAAAATAATAGTTTATACATTAAATGGACCTTTTCTTGTGTATTTTTTTTTTTACCTATATTCATATTAGTTTAAGTCTAAATTCCCTTTTTGACACGTTCAAGAGTTCTAATGACAACTTTGAAATTTCAAGAGTTCACACTGCTAATGATGATTTTTCAAAATAGGAAGAAAAAAAATTATAATTATTTCAAAGTCTTACACATATTAGTTTATCTGAAGTTTAAAATATTAATTGCATTACAGTTTTACGTAGTATTGTTGTAACTTAATTTATATTTTGAATTTATATTGCCATGTTAGTTGAAACTTCTAGAAATTTATACTTGAAATTAGATCAAAACTCTTAAAAGGCTAAAAGTAAAATTGAACGTACATTACTGATGTATCATGATTATTGGTAATATTTGAAGAGAAAGATATTAATAATCATACACCTCAAAGGCGAAGAATAAAAAAAATTAACTGTCTCGTATTAAACTCCAAAAGCACTTTTTTTTGGTAATTAAATGATTTTATTTACCAATAGCAAATATGTACAAAATTCTATCTGAAATAGGATATTTCCAGTTCCATTCCCTCTTCTACATTTCTTCTATCTTCCTTTACAGTAAGTAATCTATTTCTGCTATTCTCTTTTTTGACTTACTAATCATCGATCCTCTTATTGCTACCTCTAGTACAATTTGCCTCACTATCATTTCCACTGTTTTTTCTGATCTTGGAATACTCTTCTATTTCTGTCATTCCATATGTGGTACACTGCACATGCCAGAGTCAATCTATAGACTTGAGCAGGTGCATTGTTTCTAGTTGCTTTGCTTTCTGCCCATTGTATCTCCCTTTGTCATTCCATCGGAGCTCTTATTATTCCTTGTCAGTGTAGTAGCTTGCTCCATATATCTCCAGCAATTCAACATTTAAACAACAGATGATCAATAATCACTTCTACTTCAGTACATAAAGGAGAGCTTACTTCGTCTGCAATCCCTCATTTGTGTAGTCTGCTTCTTGTAAGGAGCCTGTTTTGTATAGCTAAATTCAGTACAAAGATCTACTTTGGAGCTCCTAGATTGTTGCATGTTAGTCGCCTCCATGACACCTTTTGATATTGCCCTCGCATGCTATTATACCACTTCTTGATAGAGAAGTAGTTCCATTATGTTACTTCCTTCATGTTGACTCATGTTTCTTCTATGTATCTCTTTGCTTTGATTATTTTCTGAACTATCCATGATGCATTCCTTGGTTTGCTATCCCACACTTCTTGTTTCTTCCCGTAATATAGATGGATCCATTGGACCCATAACTTGTCCTTCTTCTTGCACAAGTTCCATAATAATTTGCAAATTGCAGCTTTATTCCATATCTGAATGTCCATAACATTGAAACTTCATGCTGTCTTTGGTGAGCACACTTTTTCCCATGAAATTAAAGCTCTTTTTGAAGCCTCTGTTCCTCCGGTCCACAAGAATGTTCTGCATATTGTTTCTATCTTCTTCATTATCTTCTTAGGGATAACAAAGATCTGTGACCAATAGATTTATATGGAGAATAGAACTGTTTTGATCAGTTGCAATCTGCCTGCATAAGATAAGAACTTTGAAGTCCATGAGGTGATCCTGCCTAGTATCTTCTCCAGTAGTGGTTGGCATTGAATCAAAGATATCCTCTTAGTGCTGAGTGGTACTCCAAGATATTTGAATGGCAATTCTCCCTTGCTAAATCCAGTTACCTGCACTATGTTTTCCTGTATACTCTGTGAGACCCCTCCAAAATAAATGGAGATTTTTGCTGTATTTGCTTTTAATCTAGATGTCTTAGAGAATTCCATAAAACAATTGAACACCATTTGAATGAAGATAGTATCACCTCTGCTGAATAGCAGCAGGTCATCTGCAAACCCCAGTTGGATGATATTTAACTTGTCACACCTAAGATGAAAATTGAAGTCTGGCTTATACCTTAGTGTTTTAAAGCCCCTTGTGAGATATTCCATACCCAGTACAAATAAAAATGGTGACAATGAATCATCCTGCCTTAGTCCTCTTCTTGCTTGAAATGGTTCCATTGGTTTTCCATTAATAAGAATGGAATAGGATACTGTTCTTATGCACACCATAATCCATTTTACAAACTTCTCTGGCATTCCTAGGTTGTTCAGCACTTGTTCTAAGAAATCCCACTCTACAGAATCATATGCCTTTTGCAAGTCCAATTTTATCATACATCTAGGAGAGATGCCTTTCCTCTCATACCCTTTCACCAACTCATGACTTAGGATTATGTTATCTGTTATGACTCTTCTAGGAATAAAACCAGATTGACTTTTGTCAACTAGGTGATCCATCACCCCTTGCAATCTATTGGTCAAGATTTTAGAGATGATCTTGTATATAACTGTGCATCATGAAATAGGTCTGAAATTTTTGACAGTTAAAGGGTGCTGAATCTTAGGGATCAAAGTGACAGTTGTTACATTAATAGGCTTGTACATTTCAGCTTTATTGAAGAACTGGAGCACTGCCTCAGATATTTCTTGCCCTATAATCCCCCATGTTTTCTTGAAAAACTTTGAGTTGAAACCATCACATCTTGGGGCCTTTAGTTCATCTATTCCCTTCAAAGCATGTTGAATCTCTTCTATAGTAACATTTTCAATTAGTCTTAACTATTGCTTCCTATCTAGTACATTGCCCCCTTCATGATGCCTGGTTGAATGGTTGGTATGCTATCAGCTGCTGATCCCAATAGGCCTTTATAAAATCCCACTATTTCCATTTCAATTGCTTCCCTAGAGTGAATTATTTCACCATCTGTATTTCTCAAACTTATAATCTTGTTTTGATTTACTCGATTCTTCATGCTAGCAAAGAAGAATGTTGTATTGTGACCCCCTAGTTTCAGCTACTGGTTCCTGTATTTCTGTTTATAGATATTTTCCTCTATAATTGTCCATTTCTCCAATTACTGCGTTAGATCTTTTTCTTCTTCAAACCTCTGTGTTGATGCCCTTGTAGTTCCCATCTATCCTTGTATCGCCTGTAGCCTCTGCCTTGCATTTTTAACCTTCAAATCTACTACTTGAAATTCTTTTGTGTTCAGCCTCTTTAGTGCATATCTAACTTCCTTCAACTTTATCCAGACTTCTGCTATTTTGCCTATTTTTGGTGTTTTATTCCATGCTTCCCCCACTACATCTAAGAAATCCTAATGCTGACAATTGAAGAATCTAAAAGGCTTTGGGGTCTTTTGTTCATCTCCAATCTTGACGCATAATGGGGAATGATCTGAGAATAAAGGATCCATAATCACTGCATCTACTTGTGGCATGGTATTTATCCATTCTGCATTTATGATAGCCCTATCTATTCTGCTAAATACATGTGAGTTAGTCCATGTGTAGTCCCTGCCCACAGTCCTCATTTCACACATTCCTGTATCTATTATGAAATCTTTGAAATCTCTTATTTCATTCTCTTGGATTGTGCTGCCATTAGTTCTATCCTACATTGCCATTATTGCATTGTAATCTCCCATACATATCCATGGTTTCCTCTTATAGTGATTCCAGTTTGTTAAGTTCCTCCATAGACTTTTTCTTGCCTCCACTGTATGCAGCTCATAAATGGCTGTGAAATCAAATTCTTGCCTTGTGTCCAGTACCACTACCTCTCCATGTATGTATTTTGGTTTAGCTTCTTTTATATTGAATTTTATTTCTGCTGGATTCCACATATTACCCATACTCTACCCTTTCCTCCTCTATCATAGTTTGTACACCAGTCCTATCTAGGAGCTATTTTTTGGATGATTTTCCTTGAAAACGTTTCTTGTACTCTATGTTCTATAATAACTATAATACTAATACTATGCTCTTTAATAAACTTCTGCATCTCCTTTTGCTTATATAGCTTATTCATTCCCCTAACATTCCAAGTAAATAATTGCATTGCACTATGTTGTTTGTTATCCCATCTTTCATACCTCCCCCATAACTACATTGCCCTCTATTTTCCTTGTTTAGATCATTAAAGCTTGCTTCATTAAGAATATTAAATCTATTACCCACTACTATTTCTCTTGCTAGTGTTGCATGAGTATTCTTTGTGGCTATTTTCCTTTTGCCGCTTGCCATCCTTTGTTCTCCTCTGTTGTTACTTTCATTGTATTCTGCATTTTAGGTACTTGTTCTGTATTTTCTGCTGCTTCTTGTGCCTTATGAATTGTGCTTCCTTGTTTCTCCTGTTCTTTTGGTTTCCATTCATGCTTCTGTTTTTGCTGCTTGTTCATCTGAGGCTGTGCTTGTTTAGTTTGGCAGTTATGTCCCAATTGTAAGCAAGTACTACAATACGTTGGCTTCCAATCATAGACAACTGATTGATCAAATTGCCTACCACTCGGATCCTTGACTGTTATCTTTGTTGGTAATGGTTTAGTAATGCTTATTTCTACAAGTATTCTAGCATAGGATATCCTTTCCACCTTTGTTGTACATTCATCTGCACATATTGGAATTTCCAATCCACTCCCTATACGACTCAGGGAATCCATTCCCCTACAATTCAGAGGCAGATTTGGTAGTTTAATCCATAACGACAGAGTTTTCAGTACCTCTTCATTGAAATCAAAGTCTGTTGTCCATGCCTCAGTGATTACTGGTCTATTTTGGATTGTACATGATCCTGAGTATAGAACTTCATTCATTTCCTCTTCATTTTTGAATCTCACTACAAAAAAACCATCATTATGGTAGTACACCTTCGGTTTTAATACAAAGTTCCATTGCGATGCAATAAACCTCTCAATTGCTCCAATACTTGGTGTATCTCCTACCACGTACATAATAACTGTTATTTTCCACTTCTCAGCTTCCTTTTCAATTTCCTCTTTCTGCAATTCAACAATTTTCTCACCATTTTGTATCACTGGTGCCACAAACGATAGTCCCATTCCTCTAGCAGCAAACGTGTTACCAGTAACTAGATTTGCCCATGATTTACCTTCATTTACTTTCTCTGCACTTGTGTCAATCACGATCGGTTGCTTCTCGATGCGAATTTCCTCTGCATGTACTCCTTCACCTTTTTTACTACGTGTGTTATTCGAGTTTTGTACCACTTTCTGTTGAATTTCAGCTTGCTTAGTCATAAATTGCTCATTCAAGCTCCTACTACCACTCGTTGTTTCAATCACTCCTGCCTTTGGTGTTATCACCTCCAGATCTCAATTTTGTGCGCCTTGGTTTGGTGTAGACTTGTTTGATTCGTTGTTTCTACTCGTTGTTGCTATGAATTCAGCTAGTTGGATATTTGTTACAGTTTTCTTAGGTCGTCCTCTTCCTCCCATGGCTGATGGCGTATTTTAGTTATTCACGCTAAAATGCGCCGAGAGCATTTAGAGAGAGAAAGTTTTTTACACACAGATTCCAAAAGCACTTTTAAAGTTCATATAAAAGTTGGTCAAAACATTAGGTCTCATTATGTCATTAACAATATTTGGAGAGAAAGATATTAATAATCCTATTATGTCTGATTAAAAATTATATAAAATAAAATCTTAGTTGAATTTAGATTCCTAATTATTAGAATCTTCTATATAGTTTAAATAAGGAAGATTAATTAATAAGAAAAAATTTGAATTAATTTTAAAGTCCTAAATATCGTGAAAATAATTGAAAGACTATTTTGTCTAGTGTGAAATTTATTTCTAAAGGGTAAAAAAGATGAACGACATTTCGCTAAGGGACTTCTTGATTTTAATATAGTATAGATTAAAATTAGGGTCATACAAAATTTAGAAGGAGATAAATAGAAGGATGCGCAAGAATTTCCTGCAACCTTACTCTTGCAAATTGCTAGTATAATTTTATAGATGGTCTATTATATTTATATTGTATCAAAGTCATTAAATTATTTTTTGTAATGCAAATATTACTTAATTTTATTTAAATACCACAAAAAATTACTAAATAATATTTTTTAATAAAAAGTTACTTAACTTTACCTAAGTATTATTTAAAGTCGCTAACTAATTCTTTTGTAACCAAAAACCTATTCAACTTTGCCTAAAAATTATAGAAAATATCTCTTTCAATCCTACTAGTAATAACTTTATAAGAAAAAGTTAATCTAATTTTTTGTTACAAAAAATAGTGCAACGACTCTCATGATAATGAAGAAATTGACTTTCTCATTACAAAATACTCCCTCCGTTCACTTTTACTTGTTTATTTTGGACTTTTCACGCCCCTTAAAAAATAATAAATAAAGTGCATAATTTACCATGATACTCATATAGTCTTAATGAATTTGAAAAATAATTTGGAATGAATAATTAATGTAAAGGACAAAACAGGATAATAAATTATTTTTCTCTTGATATGTGAAAAGTGATAAATAAAAATAAAAATTTATTTTTAAAATACTTGACAACTAAAAATGAACAGAGGGAATATAACTTAGTGACTTTAGTCAAGAAATTAGAAGAAGCCAGCTGTGGAATTTGAGTTTCTTTTTGTTGCCTCAAGTAATAGTCTAAAATAAAGTCTTTTTTATAGTAATAGTGTTTGAACCAGTTTAAATATATCTTTAATTTATTCATTCTGCTACATTTTACGGGTACAATTTACCCACGTACTAAACTCCCGTTTGGCCATAAAATTTAAGAGCTTTTTTTAAATTTTGTTTTCAAATATCTATTTGTTTATACATTTTAATCATTTTTAGCAGATCTTGAAAAAAAATCTTCAAATCCAAGAAACAATTTTAGAGTAGTTTTTGAAGTTTTCTACTCACAAAAAATTAACTTTTTCTAAGTAAATTGCATGTCCAAAAACAATTTCAACTTTCAAAAATTATTTTTCGTTTCATCTAAAAAAACTTTTTTAAATTTCAACTAAATTTTGTCCAAACACTAGCTAAGTAGTTTCGTCAATTTTTTTTGCTTTCGTTTAGATTTGATTCTAATCTCCCTTGGGGCATGTTTGAGCAAATAATTGCTAAATCAATTAATAACAAATTAATGGGGTGAATTTTAATTGAGCTTAATAAATTTCAGACCAAATAGAACAAGATTCTTGTATAATGGGAAGAATATAAAAGCATTAATTAGTGCGTTCAGTATACTATGATAGACGAAAAATGTAATATCGTAAATGTGTAATGAATGCAAGAAACGACAATGATTATAACTTAAAGGAACTATCACCCAATGATTATGCGATTGGGTGCCTCTTCCCTCGAATGACGTAAAAAGGTATACAATTGGTATGAATGTGGAATGTTCGAGATTTAAGGATGAAGGTTGAATAACATATGCTTGAGACAGTGAATAAGACAACTCCTTCGTATATCTTTTTCTTGTCTTTACAATGTGTTTCTAAGTTCTCAAAAGGGCAGATCCCCCTATTGTTCATTGTCTCCTCTTATTTATAAGGGACATTCTCCAAAAAACCTTAAAAAGTATAACACAGAGAATATCCAAAGGAATATTCTTCTTGTCTCTCTCTAAGTTCAAGTTACCATTATTATTTCATCTCAGCTATCCGCTTTTGGTCATCGACCTTCATCACAACGACCGTCGTGGTCGACCCTGTCCTATGTCATGCTTATCCGTTACCGTGGTTGCCAAATTTGGCCCTATACAGTTAGTCCCTCCGCTTGTTGAGGTCGCAACCCTGCACATCCTTGATAAGCGGACATCGTTCGTTTTCGTTGTGGGAAAATTTGGCTACTAAATTATGTCGGGTTGACCAAGATCAAGAGATCGACGCATCCTGCAGAATCATGATTGATGTGGTTATCAAGATGTGATGTCACTCCCACGCGCGCCATCATTACGCATCTTCCCGAGACAGCATCTGAATGCTTGTCGCTTTGTTTTAGCGCTATTGGCGGTCTTCTGCTTCGATTCTCGCGCCATTTAGCCCTATAAATAGGTGAGGGTTTCATTTTTTTCAGATTGTTTTGTCATTTCCTTCCTTGTGTATACGTTATTCTCCATTGACCATCTTTCTCAATTCCTAGCTCTGTTCTTGTGACTCTGCTTCTCGTCTTCTCGTTCAGTCATCGTTCCTCCTTCCAAGTTTTACTAGCACACCTTATATTATCAAGATGCCCCGAACCTCTCGTGCACACGATGAAGTTTTCGACGTTACTCTGTTATTAGTGGCCCTTCCTTCCGGTGGCGAGGATATCGTGGCTGAGGAGGGTGAGAGTTTCCCTACCGTAGAAGAAATACTCTCCAAAAACCCTATGTCTAGGAATGATTTCCACAAGGAACCCGCTCCTTCTCCCGTTCCAGTGATTTTTGAAATCGGTCCATCTCAGATAAATGAACTCCAGTTTACGTATAATATTCCTCCTCATGTCGAGATGGTTCTGGATGGGAGGGACATCGTGGAAGTCAACATACAGGGATATTATGCTTTTTACGTGTATCCTTTTGTGATTGGTCATACCCTTCCTCTTCTTCCGCTGGCGGAGGAGTTCTATCGGTTTTACGAATTCTGCCCGGCACAGCTGTCTCCGTACTTGTATAAATCTTTCTGGTGCTGACGAAGTATGCGGAGTTGGCTGGGTGTGAGGTTGGCATTCACCACCTTTTACATTTATTTTCCCCCAAGCCTTCATAGAGGTACCATGATACATCTGCGAAATCGTGGGACCAGGGGATTGGTGGTTGGAACGGATGACAGGGCGAGTCGAAAGTTTTGGCACAAGTATTTTTTCATCAAAACGGAACACTTGGTGTTGGACTTTGCTGGATTTCTAGAGCAGTAGAATCATAACCGTACATGTTGGTGATGTACGCTTGTTATCTGCTTTCGTTCTCTCTGATTCTTATTCACCTATGACTTTTCTGTACAGCTGAGAGATGTGCACCTTTTCCTGTCATCGGTATTGAGGATTAGGTAGCTCGCGTGCTACCTCACATGGTAGGGATTCGAGATTGGGCCACTTTTCTCAAACGATTTGGACCAAAGGTTCCATCTGGTAAGTGTTTCTTTCGCTCCGACCTTTGGTTGTTTGGTGTCGTTTACTAATACGACCTTTTTGTGGTGACAGGCCGATGGATTTCCAAAAAGAAGGCTCCAGTCCCAGTATTTCGACAGGCCATTGCATCGGCGGGGATGTAGTTCACTTTAGCTGAGTCCATCCGTGGAGGTCGTAGTCAGACTAAACCAACAAGGGACCTTCCTCGGGACGAGATCTCTTCCTGGCCTACCTACCATCTCTTAGATGAATCTTCCAACGCGGATGAATCGTCGTCAAGAAAGAGGAGGAGGGTATAGCTTTGGAAGGTCGTCGTCACCGATCTTGAAAAGAGAAAAATTTGCACTTTGAGAGTGGCATCTTCGCCGAGGTCGGGCACGGGTACCGTTCTTATGACAGACGCCATTTTGGCGGGGAGGTCCCCTGGGTCCGAAGAGGTATGTCAAGGTAGGGAACCTATACGATCCGCTGAAGGCGGTGAGTTATCTGTTGTCGGAGGAGATGGAGAGATGAACGCGGAGGACGGTGGTTCGGGCTCGGACATCAATCCCGAAGATGTGTAAGCTTTCTTGGATCGACATACCCGTGTGGCGTCCTAACCGACACATGGTCATTTCTGTGGATTACGACCTTTTGGTGAACTCCGAACAGGCATCGTCGGCATTTGTCCCTTTGTGCGCTGCTTCTGAGAGCACGGCGCTTCAGGCGATGAGTAACGCGGAGCTATCGCGAAGTATTTTTGGCATGGCTTTGCGGGTAAGCGTTTTCTGTCTTCTTTTTATTTTCAGATTTGTATTGTATGCATGATTTTACTTAAGCTGACATTCTTTCCTCTGCATGTCAGACTCTCATTATGGAGAACGAGCGCAACCGGAGGGATAGGCGAAGGACGGTCATTTTTGGTAAGGTGGCCTCTAAGTACAAAGAGTATCGCACCAAACATCGCGCATTGGCCGATGTCTTCACTCAAGACAGCGATTTCCAGCTATTTCGTGACGGGCTTAAGCAAAAGAAGAAGGAGTTGACACAGAAGGTTGAAGAGCTGAAAGAGTGGGATGAAGAGCTGATGACGTCCATTGGCCGATGTAGTGAACTTGAGGCGGCCCTTAAGGCCAAGGAAGATGAGTTTGAGGTGAGCAAGGGGGTAATGGCCGA